AAAAAAAAAAAAATGAGTTTAACATAATGATAGAATAAAATTAACGTAACGAATAATGATATAAAATTAAACTGATTAAACAGAGGATGCAAGGAGGTACGCATATTAAATAATAAATAAAATGGTAAAAATTGCATCTGGTGGGGTCTGATACACTTGAGAGAAGCACAGACCCTACTTAACGGTTATTTCACCTCACTAAAATTATCATTCTTTTTAATTTTCCTTTCTGAAAGGCCCATACGAAGTCTCGGAGAGGGCCCTGTGTTAGTGGTAGTGGTTTAATTACTCCTTCTCTATTTCTCTTTTTTTTTTTTTTTCTTTTTTGAGGATATCGGAAGATACTGAACTCATATAATCACTACTAGACTTGTTTGGGTACTGGTTCCTTTTCAGTTAAGGCCTTTAAAGGAGCCAACTCTCCCATTTTTCACTACAACGCATTCCTCATTTCACAATATTTTCCCAGCCCTTTGCTTGACCTACTTCAAGACAGTAGCAATGGGTATCCAGAGCAACCCAACCCTTGGCGGTTCGCAGCGATATGTAGACCGAATGTCTCAATTGCTTTCATCGGGCTCACCGGAGCCAAACATTAGTGGGAGCCCGCCCACGTCAATCGCCGGCTCTGTAGACTATGACTGCCATTTTCAGCAGACCGACGAATCCGATGACGAACGCAAGGCTACACCAGTGAATGAATTCAGCGATGAGGAGGAGACTCAGGAACAACGCACCGAGAAACCTGAGAGCGTGAACTGGGACAGAACCAGATCTATAAAATCCTTGAACCCTGAGTACCCCACAGAATGCATGTTGAATATGATCGAATGTATGGCAGAGTGAGTCTGAAACCATCGCCCTATGAGATACCCCATGTTGATGGCTTTAATCATAGGTTGGATGTACGGGTGCAGTAAGTTTCTCTTAAACAAAACCTGGATCCCACACTAACACGCTTTAGATCCAATGCAGACTCACTCACAGGCCAGATCCTATGGAATCGGGAAATGCAGCAAAGGTTTGCAGACAAGACGGGCGCTGTAGACGCGTTGAAAAAAGAAGTGACCGCATTGAGGAAACAAGTGGAGGTTTTGTCGAGCAGGGACGCAGTCAAGAATCGAGAGTCCGTGGGTTCTAAGCGTCAAAAGCAGTGAGAAAATATCAGTCACTATCTTTCATAAGACCCAAATGGGTTACCCGAAATGGGTTATTGAGTAATTCGTCCCTATGAGAGATAATGCTGTGGCCTTCTCCTAGCAGTATTCAGAGGACCACATGTCGTCTTCGGCCAAGTTCCGCGCCAGAACCGCGCCATTTGGGAAGTACTATTATATCGCATTTATTATTCTAAGGGTGAATTCGGTACTGTAGTATATTGAGAGCAATCACAGGCAGATAATTATGACGGCGATGCTTTTTTTAGATATCGACGGATTGGTCCAGACAGTAAGAAAGGTTTGATGATTTGTCGGGGAAAGCTCAGTTGTGCCCGGATCGACCAAGCTGACCCGTTTTTCTTACGGTATCCACCGTTCCCCACAGATCCACGCATGGTGATAATTTTATTAATTTCCCTAACGAACCAATCGTATGCCGAGCTCTTAACGCCGCGGAAGCGTATGACGAATTAGAGCCCGTCTATCATGAATTTATCCACAGAGGAAAACATGTCATTCCGCATCGCACCGCTGCTCTTGGCTACATCCTTCATAGGACTGGCGAGTCGTTCCGTCAAGCGATCTCGCTTCCGCCCTACACGAGGATCTAGCTGTCGAGGGGCCTGCTACAGCATCCAAAACGAGCCACTTACTCTTTATGCCAAAATGCCTAACTTGTGCGATTCCTTTACTTTCTTGGCGCCTGCTTAGAAATCTTGGTCCAGACAATCTGGACAAGGATCGCACCGGACTTAGGGCTTTGGTTTTGGCCGATTGAGACCTGACCTCCAAAAGCCTCCATTTCGGATGTTGGTTCGCTTCAAGTTTATTATTACCTGACTAGGTTTAGCCTAGGGATCTACATCTCAAAAGAGAAATTCCTGCGAGTCCCCCTGTCCTCTCCAGTCCTAGTATTCGAATTAGCCAATACGATATTTACCAACGTCTTCTGAGCCATGCGTGCCGAGATTTTGCGCTAAGCGGGGCTTGAATTCCAAATTCATTAGCGCGATGAACAGAATAAACCC